ATATCAAGAGAGGCAGTCACTATTTGGAAGCTTCGATTACCAGTTTAACAACTCAGGAAACTGTACTTGCTGCTAGTTTATTTGTCAGGCAGTTAACTGCAAGTGTCAACTGAAAAAAAAAGTCTAAACAATAAAAGTAATTATTTTACATATTTTTACTACTGTTTTACCCTGAAATACTATCCTTATTTGGAAAAAAGCATAAGACAAGAGGATGAAATCTTCGCAGCCAACCTATTACTGTCTAAACCATATAACGAACTTTTCATAACAAATCCCTCCATTTCAAACAAGTGGCTAACTAGAACCACAAACTATAGTCATTCCACTTCTTTAAGCGCACTCTAATACCCTGTTGCTATCAGTTTTCACCTTAGAAAACAACATCACTTCTACATAGAAAATTCATGTTCTTCCTGCTTTTGTTGCACGTGACTAAATTACAGAAAAGACCAGCCCTACTGGAATTTATCAATCAATAGAGCATTCTTCTTTGCAAACTACAAAAAACACTCTGTCCTATATCCCGGCACTACGGAGCTCCCAGTACAATCCCTGGAAGGAGAACAAACTCTCTGTGGCATGCTCAGTACAGTGGACGGATTTCCCCCTTCCTGCCCTCTTCCAGCTGTGATAAACAAACACAAAAGCAAAGTCATGCTCTAGAAAAAGGAAAATAAAACAGAACACAGTAAACTTCAACATTAATAATAAATCAAAAAGCTGTTCCACTGTTAGGGCAGGCAAACCATCCAGTGGTAAGGACAGCCCGCATACTGAAAAAAAAACCACTTAAATAATGCCAGATCTTAAGGAATAGTGTTTGGGATTCCAGCACAGTGTGCAGCTCTCCCTTGCCTTTTTATAGCTGTTGATGCAAGGTTCCTTCGAAATAACCAATGAACGTATGTCTGGAATGATTTCAAGGTTCCTTTTGTAGCCACATAAACATAGCCAGGTAGCATGGCAAGTTTAAAAATCACTTAAAGAATTTGTGCAATGGATGTCTTCAATGTGGTACAAAAACAAAATGTGATTTGATAGCAGATATGACATCCAGTAATACCTCATTTTATCAAAAGTAATTTAGAATTTCAAATAATATTTATAGAGTTAGCTAAGAATTTACAGTAAATACTGTGCACGACATCAGAATCCCTAGAAACAACTGCAGCAAGCCAAGAAAGCGTGGAAAAAAATACAACTTCTTTGGTGTTATTCAAAGGCTAAATTTAGCTTAGCGAAGACTATCTTCCTCCAAAGTCAATGGGAAGAGAATGTTGCCTTTAGAGTAACAGTGCAAAGTAGGGGAAGAGCATTAACCCTCTCTGCACGAGACAGGAGGTATCAGGTATCCCATGAAGGGAACCTGGAGTGGATGGGGGGACACAACCTAGACTCTTCCCCCCAAAGTACGGCCACTTTCCCAGGCCAGGCTGGAATCTGAACATGCCAGCATGCTTTGGAGAAAAGTAAACATGTCCTGCCTCCACCTTGCTCAGTCTGGACAGGTACTTCAGGCAGATCCACCTGACAGCATGCAAGGCTAATTACCTCTCCCCAGACCCTAACAGGAGATTTTCGCATGCTATAGAGCTCCAAATTCTTGTGTTCCCACTGGATCCAGCCATATCTTCTCCCTCATCTTAGCAAAGCCTAAGGCAAGAGTCAAGAGAAAGAGGATGTCAAAGACCCGGAGGCTAAGCTGGCACAACTCTGGCAGGACAATAGCTAAAGGCTTCCAGAGCAGATAGGAGGGCTGGGGCAGGGGAAAGAGCACTGAAGGGATGATCCTGCTGCACTGGGACACGAAACATGCTCTTCGTGATGCTTGCAGTATTAGGTGCACATTAAGCACATTATCCCTTCTGTCTTATACAAGTTTACACACAGTATGTATCAGCCAGCTAGCCTTTCACAGGAGATTAAAAAAAAAAAAAAAAAAAAAAACGAACAGTTTGAGAACCCTGATCCAGAGGGCAGCAGAGAACAAGTAAATACCTCAGACAGACTTTTTTTTCCACCTCTACTGCCTGCTGAAGGAGTTTATGAAGATTAATGTGACCATCTCCACCGTTTGGGGCTATTCCTTGTGCATACCTTTATCATTTAGTGTCCCTACCTTTTCAGTTAAATGCAAGCAAGACAACATATGTTTCTGGTATTTGGATTTTGTGGGAAGGTTTGCATCCCCAATTGCACTTAGAGTTAAGTGACAGTCTTTATTACTTACCCTTATAATATTATTTGACTTGATAATAACATAAAAATGGGGGCAAACTTTCAAATATTCATGCACACACATCAACATTTTACACAAGTTAATAAAGGTGGAAACTTGCCACAAGAGACAGAAAAATTGAGTTGCTTTAAGAACATAAGGGAACCAGGAGTAAAACAATTCTATAACTTCTAACAAACAAATTTCTACATATTTTTTCTCTTTCATAGTTTCACTATAGATGTCTGTATACTTTCTGAAGGTTCTAGATTAGGCTTGGGTAGAACACACTGAAATTTCCCATGAAGAACAGACTGTAGCTAGAGAAAACACTAACATTTTGGTTTGGATTAAAGCCAGTTGGAATTCATTTATTTACTTTGTGAAGTATTGGTTACTGCCCATATTCAGAAATACTTGTCCAGATTATTCTTTACTTGTTTACGCATTTCTTCAGTGTTTCATTGTACATTGAGTTTTGTGAGCTATAGGAATTCTGCACACAACCAGATGCAAGTTTTCTGAGCTGCGCAAAAGTACTGTAGCATTTGGTGCAACGTTTTAGCTTTGTCAGAAACTAAGGGTTGTAACACCTTCTGGCTAAGTATGGCATTGGTAACAAATGGAAACAAACAAACAAAAAATCTTGCAGATATCTGGGAGCAAGAAGAGAGAGCAGCAATTTTTTTCAAAGGCTGCTTAATTTAAAAAATAAACATATGGCTGCAGGCATACGATTTGTGAATTCTGCCACTCTACCTGTCACTTCCAAGTTTATAATAGCATACTGCACACTTCAGCAAGACATCAAAAGCAAGGATTTTATCAACAAAACTAAACACTCTTCAACCTCATGTCTGCTTTTAATACATATATTCCAGATACCCTGTCATCTTTCCAGTCTTACTCTAGTGCCTTCCCCTCTCATACAGGTACTGCTAATCCAGACGTATCTTTGTCCAGAGTTCATCTTTCAATACCAGTTCCACAAAGGTTCACCCTCTCCTTTTTCCTATAACATCTTTCCCCCCTCCCCCCTTCTCTATTTCAGTACTCTCATTCAGAAAAAGACTTTTAACTATTACTTTTATATTAAAACCTCTCAAGTCTGCCTCAGAGTCCAGTCTACTTCCACTCAAATGGCAGAACTTGTCTGATCTGGTACTTCCTTGCCATATCTTGCTATTAGGTTAAATCCCAGAACTGCAAAATCTTACGTTCATGATTATTTCCTAAATTCTTTTCTCTCTGTCCCCATCTCAGCTACCAAAAAATGCCAACAATCACTTGGCAATACTCGAGGGTATGATCCAAGAATTAGCTTCAAATTATCTATCCCACCGAACTTAATGAACTCAAACCAGGTCATGCCCAAGTCTTGCCACTTCCCTATAAGGAAGGGGATATATTTAATACTCCATCTTTTCTTTGTCTGGATAGCTGTATTTCTCACTTCAGATGCACTATCTTGCTCTTAGCTCACTGCTATATTCTCTTCTGATGATACTGCTGTAAATATCATCCTGTCTCATCATTTCAACAGAAATGTCTTGAGACAAATTTCTCTTCAGAAGGAAATTACTTATCTTCTTTCATGCCTTTATAGTCTCCTCTTTGCTGTTCTTTTGCAAGGGAAAACCCCTCAACAACAGTCCAAAAACTCACTACATAACTAATTTCAAGCCTGTATCTACCAGAGCACCTGTAAAGACACTTAACAGTAGTAAGACAGTTATTATACCATAAATATTGCCTGTGAACTTCAGATGATCTTAATTTAAACCTTGAACTCTCTATTTTGCCATATTTATAAGACATGCCATCTGTCCTTTTCATTACTGCACACAAAATTCATGACAATACATTTTCCCACAATGAATTTATACATTTAGTTGGATTTTACAATCTATTTGTGATCAAAGAAAATGTCTCAGTCTCAATTCCAGAAAGAAAAAAAAAAAAAAATCACTGCTCAGGAAGATTAAAGCTGGTATTTTCATTGTGTTTGCATCACGTCCGTTTCTCCCACAAGGTTAGAGGAAGCCATGGGTTTGAAGTAGCAAAACTTAGAATGGAGGGCACAAAAAACCAGAAACACTCAAAATTACTAAGCAGAGACAAATGGACATGTAGGAGTGCACAATTTACTCAAAGACATAACAGTACTTGGAATCTGAGCTAGCATCTAGATCTTACTGTCCAGGCAGCATCTATGACAGTCAGCTACAGTACCTGCATCTACAAATAGAATTGATGTTTTTTAAACCAGAGACCACAAAGAGCTGAGCCATTTAATGCAGACATCAATATTTACAGTAGAAAATACCTTACATAATCAACAGTTTCGAACAGAAAGGCTTAAACCTAAATGGCCTTCTCCATGCTCACATTTAAGGTAGCTCTGAAGGAAAGGTAACTTCTGAAAGGCATACTAACTGTATACAGTATGATATTTATAAATAAAATGATAAATTAGAAAAAACAAAGTGATGTTTTACAGGCTGAACTAATCTTTCAAACAACATAAAGGCTCACAATGATCCACATTGCATTGATGAGTCCTTGTATCTGAAACTTCACCTACAGTATTTTCACGATTTATTGACTTGCACGTATCTTAAAAACAGTACTATGAGTGTCTTGGGCCAATATGTATCAGATTTACCTTTGCTCTCACAAATTTCCAAATGCAAATTTGATTACATATATTCATCAAATATCAGAAATATTCCTGTTCAATTTTTTAAAAGATCATTTTTAATTTATTTCCAACTTTTACCTTGAGCGCACAGAAGATACAAGAATCGCCCATACATTTGTGCGTTGTGATTTGCCGGAAACTGCGGCGAAAAATATCCAGGTGCCAGAGAACCTGAAACACAAAAAGGGGCACAGTCAATTTTATGAATAAATAAAATAAAATACTGCATAAAGCTCCAATTAAAATTGCACACGCTAAATAATCCCAGAAATACACTAATGTCAGTGAATGTCAATTTTGAAACGGGACGCCTTTTATCTAACTGCAAGTTGACATTTTCATCTTTCTTCCTCAGCTGTAGCATTCACATACATTAATTTACATTAGGACATCCCTCTGAATTTCTTGCCATGTCCTTTTAGATTAACACACTTGCTTCTTTGTCAGTGTGGCAGTGCCCTGCCCTGACTACGCCCTCATGCTGACACCACGGCTGGCCCTTGTGCAGCCGCACCGTGAGGCTGGGCAGAGCTGCCAAGGATACCCCACCGACCGCCGGGGCCGAAACTCGCCCATCCTTCGACCTCCTGGGCAGCCTCCTTGTTCTCAGCAGAAAGCCCAAATGCTGGAAAAATGGAGCATCAACAGCATATAGATTAACAAGTTCTTGCAAGTCAAAACGATAGATTACTAAAACTCATTATGCCCAATATTATAATCAGTAAGGTATTCACAAGCCACGATTACTGGCAGATTTCTAACCCTAACCTGTGTGGGCAGTTACACTTTTCTCTCAGGACAGGTATGGTGGTAACACCAGGTATGTGACCAGGTATATATAGCATACAAAAGCAAGCAGGCTTTTATATATTCTGCTAGCAACACTGAGAGGCAATGTTTACTGCAACAGCACAAAGTTTTATTCTTAAATTTTACCACTAAATCTCTGCAATCTTGGGGCAATTATCTAAATTCATATCTGTAAAATAGCAATAATACCAATCTCCAAGGTGTTTCAGTCAGCTCTTTATACATAGATGTGGTCGGTGCTGGCTTTTTCAGCCTCAATTAACAATAACTGGACTTTCTTGTAAGCCTCAGAACCGCCAGCCTTTCAGAACTCAGAAGCTTGCACTGGAAGAAGCCCTGACCTAAATCGCACCCTGCCAGGTTCCAGACAGAGCGGCAAGGTCTAGGCTGGCATGTGACTGGCTAAATGCTTCGTTAGCATAAACAGAGGAACCAAACTTCTTGTTTCTGATTAATTTGTCCAGAGCAACTCGCTAGGAAAAAATTAGCACTCTGAAAAAAAGTTGTGCTGGTTTCAAGAAGTGTTTCCAGCTGGAACAATTTGTTAACTAAACCACAGCACACAAATGTTAGCTAAAATTATATTTTAAAAGATGTTTATCGAATATTTCATCTATAAAGTTTCCCAAAACTTCAGAATTGTCATGCCTATGTTTATACTCAAACTCTCCCTTTACTTAAGGACCTGGGAGGCAACATAAGCCTTGGAACCATCTGATTACACACAACATTCCTGAAGAACTACTGCAGGCTTTGCAAAAGGACAAAAAAAATCATACGTTTAGGAACAAGTCCAATTTTTCAATGTGATTGCCTTTGGAGTTTATTTTGAGTGTTTATAGAATTACTTAAGAGTAAGGAGCAACAAACATTCGAGAGCCTCTCAGACTAATACAATGTTAAATGATTAAAAAACCCCAGAAGTATATATGTTATGAAATTATTACCACCTTGCTTTTTTTTAAATTCAGCTTTGACTATAAATATTTTTGGTATCCTATCTCTCTAAAGCCTTAGAAGAAATGGTTTATGTAGAAGACTAAAGGCCAGTTCATATGCTTTCATCTTCATATATGGCATGCAGCTGGTATTAGGCTCTACTTAGTTCTGACCTAGGTTCAGTAACTTGCTATTAGGAGGCAGCCAGTGATTACACCTTACAATTTAACAGAAGTAATTAATATAATACATCACTGGGAAGTCCACTTTTCTTATTGTAAGTTCTTTGTACCTAGTCCTGTATTTCATGGCATATTAAGTCTACTGAAGGTCACTGGTGTTTCTATTTTTATTATTTGCATCATGGGGGTATCTTGAAGACTGAAGTTAGTTGAGAACCTAGTTGTCCCCAAGGAGAGGCAGGGGGGACACATGAAAACAAAACCCACAGTGATACAGTCTGTGCTACACAGACAAGTCATATGAAGGGACGGAAACCGATGTGGAGAAAGGGTTTTAAACCCTGCAGCCAGAAGGACTGAATCTCAAATGTCAGACATGCAAAACATCTAAATGGTGACAATACCACTATAGCAGCCATACCACTCCACTAAATTTTGACACAGGAAAAGGTTTTTCTTCTAAATCATAAGGTAAAGACTCAATCACCTGAACTAAGCTACAAATCAGCAGTTAGAAAGAAAACTGGACTACATAAAAAGGATCTTGTATAGCTATTATCAAACCTTGAACTTGACTGGTTCAACAAAAGTGTTACATTTACTTGTAAGGAGTAGACACACTGCAAGCTAGGCAATATTCTATTATTTTAAAATAAATTCTCTACATATATTTTCAAGTTTGGTTGAGGAATTATAAATTTTCACAAAGAAGAGATTCAAGTATACTTAGTGATGACTATGTGAATGCTGCTGTTTTCACCAGGAAAACCTGAAAATTAAAATAAGCTGTTCTATAACTCAACTAATCTGCATTTCCAAAAGTAGCTTTAGTCTATCTAGGCCTACAAACAATTACGTAGTCAAGTCTGGCTATATCCGTTGCACAATCAAGCCTAAGAAAATACTGCAACAGACAAAGGACAAAGAAACATTTTTTATTCTGTGTTCTTACCTGTAGCGCACTATTCAGGAAGCAACTGTTCTGTCCTGGTTCATTGATGAGACCTTTACTGGGTGCTATTGAGGTTGTATTTCGTGGAGTAAACATGCCCTGTACATTCCCCCGACCCACAGAAAAGTAATTTCTTTTCCAAGACATCTTCCAGTTTCAGCTGTAGAACATGCAGGTTTAGGCTGGCAGAGTATTTGACTCGATCAGACCCTTCCTTTCTTTCACCAAAATTCAAAACTGGAACAACATCAAATCTTCTTTAAATTACAGTTTAAACAGAATTCATCCTTTCGTCAGGACACAAGCAGTTTGCTGCTTTTAAATCCAGCCCAGGATGCTATTCTTCATTTGATGGTTATGTATGCAAAAACCTCTTTTACAAGCAGCCACATACGCAGTTTGCAAACGGAAGGAATCCATGGTCATACAAGTTCATCTGTTATGCTACTTCTCCCTTCTCCAAATAGGTAATGACTTCAGGGAATAAATGGCAAATCAAGGAGGTCCCAGAATCGAGAGAAGGAAAACAACAGCTACCCCCCACACCCAAAAACCCCCAGCTTCTCTAATCCTTTTATAATCCTCCTGCAGAAGACAGGAAAAATCCAATTAGTAAGGGAGCAGAGAAACCAAAACCAAAATAAAACCTTGGCAGCTCCCTTTCAGTTACATCTTTCTTGGGTGATGAAAGAGACATTATCCTTACAGTGGAAAAAGAAGCAACTGCAGGACTTGAAAGTGAAGAGCTTTAAAGTAGCAAAAAGTCTCCGGTACAGTTCTTCTAATTCTGCGTGTGATCTTTAGAAGTTTCTTCTCCTGATCCTCCTTTTGCAATCAGAATGCCCAGCCGAGAAAGCTTGAGAGAGAAAAATAATCAAAGGCTTGCGTCATTTAATTACTCTCTTGGTTTTGTGGTGTTCTGCCAAGACCAGTGTTGCCTCACCTCCCACAATACACTGACTCTTCTGAGACAAAGCAAAAAAATGTAAACCTTCCTCCACCCAAAAAATAAAATAACATGAAAAAGAACAGAGAATTCTGAGAAAAGCATGCAAGAGGGCTGGAGTATGTTCGAAGGGTTAAGAAGGAAGTTAGGTTAAAAAAATAAAACACAACCAACATTCATGTGAACTCCATGGCAATTTTAATATGTATCCTTTACAATCTTGAAGTGTGAAATTTCTTTAAGATCCCTTAGTCATTCAAACAGTAGTACGAGGATTTGCGATTCTGTGAATACATGTTAGCACGTGTCCACCCTAAAATGGGATTTTGCAGTGAACTTGGAAGGCTGAGAAGACAAAGGCACAAGGCTCCCCCCTCACTCAGCAGCCCACAGCTCTCTCATGAACAAAACAGTCTCCAAATTTTCTTAATCAGAAACTAAGTGTATCTCTATAAAATGTTACTTAATTTAGGTACATAGGATACACAATGTCTTCCAAAAGACATTGATGCCTCTGAAGAAGTCAGAAGAATCATTCAATACAAAATGCTCTTCCCGCCACAAATTCAGCTTTTCCCCTCATTTCACAGGAAATGTAAAAAATAATTTGATCCAAGAAATTCCTGAAAACAGGAACTACAAGGTTAATGGCAAAATATTTTTTACAGTTCTTGCAGGTATAGCCCGCCCGTACTTATTTCACAAACAATTGCATAATATTTTCCAAGTACATTCCCAATGACATTTAGGATTATCCCATTTTTGATACACATAACAACAACTGAATGTACCTATTATGGTTGGTATAAGCAAGATGACTCTATTCCATACGTACTGAAGTAGTAATTGCAGCATGAAGTCACAACAAGATAGACACACATAAAGGTTGCACGTCAGCAAAAATTAACTAAGAGAATAATTCCTTACAAAGATACACTGGGTATCTGCAAAGGCACGTTTTTCACCTTCCACACAATTATAAATTCTTCATCTCCTGTCAAAACACAGAAAACACTTCCTCAACATTTGCGAATGTGTTACAGCAGCCTAACCCATTCCCTTCTAGTAATATTTTGTTTGTACTTCTATTAAACTCATTCTACAAACATTAATGAAGTCTCAGCATTGCTGTAAGGCAGGCAAATATCTACGTACAGATGAATATTCTTCTTGGTTGCCAGTGTGCCATGCAAAATTTTCAGATGTGCTTGCAAGCCTGCAGACACAGACCATTGCCATGCCCGTCACACAACATTCCTAGGCACTGAACGTATACAGGATTCGTTTCAAAGCAATTTCTGCCTCAGTCTCCTTTCTTTGCTCAATCCCTTAATGAACCATGAGCCTACCTGTGCGTGGTGATTCAGTTTCAAGCAACAATGTAAGGATTTCTGTAAACCAACACCACTTGCAATAGGTGCAGTGGTTAAGCCTGTGTCGCAGAGATGGAGCAGAACGCTGCATAGAATGAGCTGAGGCAAGCAGGCTCTGTCCTAACCCACAAAAACCCCTGAGCCAAGCACTCTGTCTTCTCCTTTCCATAGCGCCTACGAATAGATGGAAAATGCAATCCAAAACATGCCCAAGACACACAGCTATGAGCAGCACCTATCCAGTGGACGTCAACTTCAAAACAAGATTCTGCCCTCAAAGTGGGCTATAAAACTTTAAGTACTTTTTGAGTCAAGCTGCCTCAGTTATGACAAAGTGAATACACTTTTTTCTACTGATTTGTAATGCCTTGGAACCAGAATCAGATTGGAGGTTTTGTAGTTTGCCTGTCATTGCAGCAAGACTATTGCGACTATCGCAAGCTGCCCAGGACTCTCGCAGTAACTGTGCAAGCTTACTACCTGCACTGTGTTGGCACAGGCTCAGCAGAACTGACTTCTTATCACTTGTTTGCTACGATTGCTTGCAGGAGCAAGTTCAGATTGCTCATTTAGCTATATGGTCTTTGCAGAGCTAAGAAGAAGCAGAACACACTTAAGCTGGTAACCACCCAGTTATGACAAAACCAAATCTCTAGAGATAAATGGCAGCTTCACACTTCGCCAACCTCTAAAAGCTTACCAATATTGAAATAGCTACAAAATAGAATCCTAATTAATTTGAAATACATGTAAGACACTATTTGTATGGATTATTTAGAGACCCATTTAGCTTCTGCTCTACCACAAAAAAGGTAACAAATAGCAAGCACGAAAAAAGAACTTTCGTAAAAACCAACTATCATTATTAAAATACCCTGTTTTGTTTCTACCACCACTGACGAACAACCAGTAGGAAAAAAGTTAACCCTCCCATATTTTAAACACCCAACTTACAATTGCTAAGAAAACAGCAGTGATCTGTAAGGGAAGAGGAAGGCTATCGCTGCACAAGCCTGTCAGTAGATGTAGGTGTTCTCCAAACGCACTACTTCTCCCAGACACTGTGTTAGCTTATAAGTGGTCCCAACCAGAGAAGTAAAGAGAAAACAAAATTTACTTTCTGAAATGAAATCATGGTAACACTTTGATGATATATGCCACAAGTTTCAGAGAATTACATAGTTAAGTGAGAAGAAAACATTTTCATATATTGTTTCCAATTAAAAAAAGTTTTTGAGCAAGACTGCTCCTCTATCAAGAGCACATACAAAAGAACAGCTTTTTAATAGTACAAGGAAACCTCTTGCAATTGAATTGCTGATGGAGTTTCCCAGCCTTCTGCAGCATTTTAATGTTAGGTGACAACTGCAGCTCCACATAACTCTTTTATTAAAAAAAAACAAGAACAAAAACTAGCACACACAAAACAAAAAACAATGAAAAAAACACCAAAACCCCACAACTCCCCGGAGATGACAGATTCAAAAGCTGTTTCTCTCATATAGTATGTCCCAGTGGCATCTTGGCATGATCTCCAGAAAACTGAGTCTGAAGTAAAAGAGAAAAGTATTATCAGACCTGAGGAGTGCTCTTACAGAAAAGAGACAGGATTCTTATTGCTGGAAATTTTACTAATACAGAAATATGACCAAAATAGGAATAGTGCCAGATGCAAAAGCATAAATGATGCTCTTGGTTCATTACTCAAAACATTATCTTAGAGACACAATGAACTGAGGCAGAAAGCCCAAAAACTTTTAAGGTACTTGAATTTTGTTTATCATATTAAGAACACTATTCACTGGAATAAGGCACAAAATTAATCTAGCCAGTGTGATTAAAAAAAGCCAACTATAGGCCTGAAAAGTTGCACAGTCTTATAATAATGTTATACAAATGTGATAATAAAAAGTAATATATTAAAAAATGTATAAAGAGTATATAATAAAAAAAGGAAATCCAACATTCTAGATTTTCCTTTGATTTCATGCTGTTTGGCAACAGCTTTCTTCGGGAAGGAGGAAGGCTCCCAGCTGCAGAGACAGGCTCAACAGACAAGATAAGGGCATGGGGCACCACTGCCATCGCATCTCCAGCAATGCAACCCCAGAGCAAAGCTGGTCATGGTTCAGCATATAGTTCTGGCCTGAAGAATCCCGAGTCTGTCCTTGGGACAGCAGAGCACAGCACTCTACCAGACATGTTCCACAGAAGAGTTCAAGTCCCTGTTCATTCTCATACTCACTATTGATTTACAATCACATAGAAACATCTGAAATCGCATCCTTTGTTCTCTGGTGAGGTCCCACTATCACTGGCTATTTTAAGGGGAAAAAACCTGTAACACTCCTCTCTTACTGCAGTCTCATGCTTCTCCAAACATTTCAGGCTACTGCTTGAACATGTGCCAGGCACATGGCTAAATTAAAACAATCCATTTAGGAAAGAAGATGCTTCCACTTAGCACTAGGTATGGCTGAAACCACCAATTAAGTATTTATCACATTGTTAAATAACAGCAGAGGTCCAGAATTTTTCATTACTTCTATTTCTGAAGAAACTTTCAAAACACAAAACAAAGTAAAAGTGTAAATGTGTGTGTTTTCAGAAGAGAAACCCCCTGCTCCCAAGATCTTACCACCTCTTCTGGCAGTAGGGAGTAGATTAATGATGTTGAGGGCAAATTGTCCTTTTACATGCCACAACACGTCTGAAAGCCTAAAGAGATGAGAAATGGCTTTTAAATACTTTCTTTAAATATTTTTTATAACAAAAAAGAAGAAAGAAAGAATTGTCCAAGACAATGGCTTTTGGTGAAAGTTTTCACCCAGATGGCTCCCGGCAGGGTGGCTCTTTTGGTGAGGAAGCACAGGAAGGATCCCCTTGACTGATTCCACAGCTGTTCTCAGCTACAGGGAAAGTTTTCACCACTAGAGGCTTGAGAACATACATTCTCCACGTAG